TTGTATCATTGGGGATCTCTCTTGCCTCACTGATTCTCTGTCTAGAGGCCCTGAGTGGGGCCTCAATACTATTATTGTATTCCTGTCAGTTTCTGTCTTTATGTCTGTTATTTGTTTTACGTATTTGAGTGCTCCTATATAAGGAGCATATATGTTGACGAGTGTAATATCCTGTCCTTGTGTTCATCCTTTATTAGTATATAGCGTCCTTCTTTATCTTTCTTTATGGCTTTTGTTTTGAAGTCTATTTTGTCTGATATGAGTATTGCGACCCCCACTTTCTTGTCATTTGTTTGCATGAAATATCCTTTTCCATCCCCTCACTTTCACTCTGTGTGTGTCCTTTGCCCTAAAGTGGGTCTCCTGTAGGCAGCATACTGTAGGCTCTTTTTTTTTTAATCCAGTCTGCCACTCTGTGTCTTTTGATTGGAGCTTTTAGTCCATTGACATTTTAAGGTAATTATTGACAACTTTTTGTTTCTCCTTTTGTGGTTTGATGTTGTTTTTTTGTCCATGCGGCTTGAGGGATCTTAGTTCCCCTACCAGGGACTGAACCCGGGCCGTTGGCAGTGAGAGCTCGGAGTCCTAAGGCACTGGACCGCCAGGGAATTCCCCGATGATTTTCTCTTGAATTATACTTATGTCCTCTTCTTTTTGGTTTTTGTGAGTCTATTGTATGTTTTTGATTTGTGGTTGCCCTGGTTTTCAAGTATGTTAACCCCTTCCTATATCTGCTTGCCCTAGACTGGTAGTCATATAGGCTCAAACACATTCTAGGAAATGAAAAAAAAAGTCTACATTTTCTTACTCTCCTCCCTTCACATTTTATGATTTTGACGTCCCTTTTTACATCTTCATGTTCATCCTTTTGCTGTTCATTCTGGTTATCATTCAGCTTCACAGAAATTTTTTGATTTTTAAAAAATGTGTGTACTGGCTTATTTAAGTGATTTATTTTCCAATTGTGATTTTTCTCTTTCCTGTAGATTCTTAGTTCTGTTCTATTTAGAGAAGACCTTTCAGTATTTCCTTTAGGATAGGTTTAGTATTGCTGTATTCTTTTAGTTTTTGCTTGTCTGAGAAATTCTTTCTCTCTCCTTTATTCTAAATGATAATCTTGCTGGGTAGAATGTCCTAGGTTGCAGATTTTTCCCTTCCAGGACTTTGACTGTCTTGCCACTCCCTTCTGGCCCACAGCGTTTCTGTAGAGAAATCAGCTGATAGCCTAATGGGGGTTCCCTTGTCACTAACTCTTTGTTTTTCTCTTGCTGCCTTTAGAATCCTCTCTTAATCTTTAACTTTTGCCATTTTTTTTTTTGAAGATGTTGGGGGTAGGAGTTTATTAATTAATTAATTTATTTTTGCTGTGTTGGGTCTTCGTTTCTGTGCGAGGGTTTCTCTCTAGTTGTGGTAAGCGGGGGCCACTCTTCATCGCGGTGCATGGGCCTCTCACTATCGCGGCCTCTCTTGTTGCAGAGCACAGGCTCCAGACGCGCAGGCTGAGTTGTGGCTCACGGGCCCAGTTGCTCTGTGGCATGTGGAATCCTCCCAGACCAGGGCTCGAACCCGTGTCCGCTGCATTGGCAGGCGGATTCTCAACCACTGCGCCACCAGGGAAGCCCAACTTTTGCCATTTTTATTATAGTATGTCTTGCTGTAGGTTTGTGTGGGTTTACCTGGTTTGGGACCCCCTGTGCTTCCTCTACCTGGATATGTTTCCTTCTTTAGATTTGGAAAGTTTTCAGCCGTCATTTCTTCAGATACATTTGTGGTACCCTTTTCTCTTTCTTTCCATTCTGGAATCCCTATTATGTGTTGATTGGCACACTTTATATTCTCCCATAGGCCTCTTATATTGCTTTTTTTTTTTCATTTGGCTTTCTGCTTTTCTGATTGGGTCATTTCCTCATTTCCATTGGTCTACCTTCACTTATTCATTCTTCTGCATTATTAATTCTGCTGTTCATTGCCTTTAGCTCAGCTTTTGTCTCTGCAAATGAGTTTTCTAATTTTTTTTGGTACCCTTTAGAGTTTGTTTCTTTTTTATAGTACTCGGCATTTCTGTCGATAGCCTTTCTTTTTTTAAAAAAAAATGTATTTATTTATGGCTACATTGGGTCTTTGTTCCTGCACGCGGGCTTTCTCTAGTTGCGGCGAGCGAGGGCTACTCTTTGTTGCGGTGTGCAGGCTTCTCATTGCGGTGGCTTCTCTTGTTGCAGAGCATGGGCTCTAGGCACGCGGGCTTCAGTAGTTGTGGTGCATGGGCTTCAGCAGTTGTGGCTTGCGGGCTCTAGAGCGCAGGCTCAGTAGCTGTGGCACACGGGCTTGGGTGCTCCGTGACATGTGGGATCTTCCTGGACCAGGGCTCGAACCTGTGTCCCCTGCATTGGCAGGCGGATTCTTAACCACTGTGCCACCAGGGAAGTCCCCGATAGCCTTTCTTAATTCCTTACTTTCCTTTTTGAACTCAGTGTCTGTTGGAGTGAAGCGGTCTGTGTTGTTGCTTCTTGCAGCAGCATTCTCTTGGTCTTTTAACTGGAGTGGTTCCTCTTCTTATTTCTCTTACTCTGTGCGTTTAGGAGAGACAATTTTCAGCTGTGGTTTTGGAGGGCTGTTGACACGTGGGGGCATCCCTGTGTAGCTCTCGTGGGTTTAACATATCTGGTACCAGGGCTGCTTTTAGCATGGATGCCTGTCAGCTCTTTCCTCAGTGTGTGCTGGCGGTTAATCCCCTTGCTAGGGGTGTGCAGATGTGGCGGCTGGCGACCAGTCCTGGGTTTCTCGACGGTGGCGGCAGCTTAGGCACACCCCGGGAGTATGCGACGGGAGTGGAGGTGGCTCACGACGCCTCCTGGAGCCCATGCAGTTGGCGATCACACATGCAGGGGAAAAGGCTACGATTGCAGGTCCCGCTCCCCCTCTCAGGCACCCCCCAAACAATGGTGCCCGGCCTCCAAGGCAACCCAGGCTTCCTCTGCGTACACCCTCAGTTGCACCGGATTGCAGCCCTACCACCCAGGCTGTCTCCACACAATCAACCCAAGTTTTCTCCCCAGGTCTGACCTCCGAGGCCAGAATTTCAGCACCCATTCCACCACCACCCCCCCCAAGGTGACCACCGTTATATTTTCTGTCTCTCTGATTTTGACTACTCACAGTACCTCCTATAAGTGGAACTGTACAGTATTTGTCTTATTTCATTTAGCATAACGTCCTTAAGGTTCATCCATGCTCTAGCATCTATCAGTATATATCAGGTATATACGCCACCTTTTCTTTATCCATTCATCTGTCAGTGGATAGCTGGGTTTGTTCCATGTTGTAGCCGTTGTGAATAGGGCCGCGATGAACGTGGGCGTACAAGTATGTCTTTGAGACCCTGGTTTCAATTCCTTTGGGTATGTACCCAGAAGGGGGATTGCCAGATCACATGGTAAGTATACTTGATGAACCTCCATACTGTTCTCCATAGTGACTGTACCATTTTACATTCCCACCGACAGTGCACGGGGGTTCCACATTCTCCACACCCTCACCAAGTGCTTGTTGTTTTCTGTTGTTGTTAGTAGCCATCCTAATGAGTGTCGGGGGGTCTCATTGTGGTTCTCATCTGCATTTCCCTAGTGATTAGTGATGTTGAGCGTTTGTTCATGAGCTTATTGACCATTTGTGTATCTTCTTTGGGGAAAGGACTATTCAAGCCCTTTGCCCATTTTGGAAATTTTTTTTTTTTTTTTTGCAGTTGAGTTTTACCGGTTCTCTATTTATATCCTGGATACTAATCCCTTTTTGTTCTCTGGGGCCCACCACTGCACAGCCACGTGACGAGAGCATCTGTGCCATTGTCTCTCATGGCAGGAAGTCCCACGCAGAGCCAGGAAAGGGACGTCATGATGTCACAATATCATTGTGGTGTAGACACGCCAGAGCATGGGGTACACCTCCAGACACGCTTGCTGCAGCAGGACCAGCACCTACAACGGGCGGGACCTCTCTGAGTGCAGGGTCTCTGCGGGGTGGCCTGAAGTTGCTGACGCCAGGATGTGCCAGATGAACAGGTGTGACCTAATTCATGCTGTTTAGAAAGACGCTGGGCAGTGAAGGCTCTGGCCCCACCCCAGGGTCACTCGAGGTGGGACCGGCCGGGGCGGTGGGGGGCAGGGATTCGCACAAAGGGGAATGCAGAGTCGGGGCGTCTCCGAGGCAGAAACCGAGAGCTTGGGTCGGGCCAGGCATTCCAGAAAGAGGAAACGACCTCCAGCTGGTCTGGGGCACCGTCAAGGCTGCTCTGTGAGGCATGCTGCTGGCACAGGGCTGGGTTCTCACTCCCAAGTGGGGTCACGTCTGCAGCTCCCGCCTGTGCCAGGTACAGGAAGCACGGGGGAGGGAGCGAGGTGCCCGAGGACTCCAGCAAGGGCTAGGGCCACCCCTGACGCCCTGCCTGGCCCTGCAGCCTCCACCCCTTGCCCTCCAGCTCGAGCTAGCTGTTGGATGGGAATTGTGGATGGAGCAGGCAGGATGGATGCCTCTGCTCAGAACGGGCCCCCAGCCTGGCCCTGTGCGCACCCCCCTCAGGGAGGAGCACAGACCCCAGGTCACGCTGGGCTCAGAGATCTCTGACTCCTGCCCTGCGAGCTGGTTTTCAGGCGGAACACACATCCCGGGTGGGGACTCCCACGTGGCAGCCCCACGGGGAGTCGGGAGACAGTGGTCCCTCCATAGCCGTGCCACGCAGGGGACCTGCTGCCCCAGCACACGACCCGCCCGTCTCCTGCCCGCTCTGATGGGCCCTGGGAAAGAGCCTCTGGGTAACCCGTGCCGTCCTGGCCAGCAGCCCCAGTCGTCCGTTGAGTGGAGGGCAGGAAAGCCGGGGGTGAGTATGTTTGTTTCAAAATTATAAGCTACTCATTTGGTAGGAAAAAAAGTGGAAGACAGTGGGATTTCCAGGGCGGGAACCCTCCCCTCACAGCCACGTCCACCCTCCTGAGGGGGCTGTCGTGTACAAAGAGCATTTAATTAATTTATTTATTTCTTTACACATAACTGAAGTGATGTTACAGTACATAAGTTATTTACAACTGTGCAGTAATGTGTTGCAAAATAAATTATCTAGAAGGCAGCAAAAGTACATTGTGAACGTGTATAAAACTGTACAGCGTTTACGGGTACACTTTTTATATGATTATTGGCTCTGTAGTGTTTCAAGTTATGTTCTCAGAAAGAGAAACAAAATGCCCAAGATTAAAGGAAAAAATATACAAACCACGTGGATTTGACTCCATTAAAAACACAACCCGGAGTCCTGCCTGCGTGTCCCTGTGAGGCGGGCGGGCGGGCGGCGCAGCCAGGCCCTCACCCGGCCCAGCGTCCCAGCCCAGATCTCGGGCTGGCACCGTCGGCAGCTTCGTGGCGACAGGACGGCTGCCGGCCCGAAGCTCTCCCCACCCTCTGACCCGGAGGCCGCTGTTGGTGAGGGGTGGACGCCTTAACTTTTATTCTCTTTAGTCGATCAGAAATGAAACAAGGAATTTAAAAAAACGCTCTCCATCCTGCAGCTCCTGAGATGCCTGTGCAGCCGCCGGAAAAGAGCCTGAGGCTGCCGTGTCCGTGTCCGTGCCCGCGTCCCCGGCTCTGCGTCCTCCCGCGGCGGCGGGTGTGAGAGAGCCGCACGCCAGGGGCCCAGCGCGGGCTTCTCCCTGGATGTCCCCACCAGGGACGTGGTCTCCTTCCACCGCCCGGACTCGGCGGCGGACTGGGGGGCTCGCCTGTGACCCGGGCAGCTGTCCCACCGCGTCAGGCCGGAAGGAGCACGAAGTCGTCGTTGACGTCGACCATGGGCACGTAGAAGGACGGCACCTCGTTCACACACAGGGACTTGTGCCCGGCGGGGTCCAGCTCCTGCACCTTCAGCTGCCACTCCATCCTCTGCACAGCGTTGAGGGCCGCGGCCTCGTGCTGCTGCCGCATCAGGAGACACGTCTACGCGGGAAACGCAGCAGGTGAGGGGAGGGGAGGCAAGACCCCGGCCGCCCCCCGCACCCACTCCCCCTGCCGCAGCGCCTCCCGGGAGGTCGGGGCGGGGGACCCGTTTGCGCTCTGGCCTCAGGACGACCTCTTGCGTCTGGGTCTCGTCCTGCGCAGTGAGTGGCCTTGCTGACCACACGGGGGTCTGTCCATCGTCCCTGCTCTGTGCCCCCACCCTGGGGGTTTCAGCACAGCCTCTAGTCAGAACTCATAATAGCTTTCTTTGCTCTTCTGTTTTCATTTTCCATTTATCTTATTTATGGTTGGTGACATTGGCTTCATTTGCACTCACAGTGGAAATTATGCCTTTTAGAAATGCACTTGGTTTTTAAAAATTAATGTTCACGTGTTTACTCTTAAGCGTACTAAGTAAGGTAAACAGTTATACTACTAAAGGCGTACTCTGTACTTCATGTTGAGAAGGGAGAATGTTGAAACTGAAATAATGACGGTACCTGGGTTACCAACAACACGTGGGGGGGCGGGGGCGGCGTTTGGGGTACAAGGCGGGTGACACAGCACAGCAGGCGAAAGACCAGCCTTCATATGGACAGAGTTAACGGAGTGACAGTGTGCAGGAAGATCATCTTATTTTCTTCGACGTGCACACGAGCATGCAGGGCCAGGTATCACAATTTCTGATTTGCTTAAAATAGTTCAGTTAAAAAAAGTGTTCTGGAAACAAGCCCCACATGCCCCAGCGGCCAGCCGTGTCCTCCTCGGCATGCCTGGGCCGCTTGTCATCCTCAGGGAGGCTTGCACAAAAGGCGTGACAGCTCAGACACCCTCAGGAGTCCAGCTGCTTTCACCCAATTTAAAGCGTTCTTGACTAGAATTGTACGTACCCCTGAGTTTTCAGTTACTAAAATGAAATTGTTTGTTGGGCTAAACCCCTGAAACATGACCAGCATGTCCGGAGAGTTGTCCCAGGGCTGCAGGAACTGAGGGTGGGCAGCCTGTCTCCTGAATAGGACCTCGTCCACCCTGTGCTCTGAGACCAGTGGCCACGCGGGTGGCCGTTTCGTGCCCCTGCACTCTCCGTACTTCACCAATTCCTTTTTCTATCCATCTATTTTTCTTATTGGTTTGTAAGTTCTTGGCACGTTAAGGAAATGAGACTTAACGTTGTCTTTGTAATGTACCAAATCTAACTTTGCTTTGGTCAGAAATTTTTTCTCTCTTGTAATTTTCCCGTGCAGCTCCCTTCAGGCTGGCTGGTGGTGGGAGGAGTGACCGTGGGACCCCCGAACGGTCACCTTTGCAGCTTGTTAGAAACACGGCCTGGACCCGGCCTCAGCTGGGCCTGAACGCCCTGTAGGCTGGTTCCTCTCTGCTCTGGCCTCCTGGCTGCCCCTCTGGGTGCGCTGCCGCAGTGCCGGAGGCAGGGTCACTGAGGCAAGGGGTGAGGCTGGCAGCCCAGCGCAGGAGCCTGGGTCACGCCTCCATCAGCTCCACGCAGCGGGCCCTGCCTCCTGGGGCTTCCCGGTGGTGCCGGCTTCTAGGTGTTAATTCTGTAACAGGCACGTCACTGCCGGTCAGTGTTCACGGGGGACCCCGGGTGCAACCCTCGCACCTGCAGACAAGGACTTGCTTCTTACTTGCTAATCTCTCTCTATCTCCCCCCCATCCTCTGCCCGCTGCACTGGTCAGCACAGCCAGGGGCAGGGGTGATGGGTGGATGCTGTGACCTTTGAGGAGGGCTCAAGGTGGGGTCCCACAGAGGTCTGACCGCCAGCTGGTGACAGGAGCTGCTCCCCGCACACCTGGACAGGAGGGAAGACACTCTAAGAGGCAACATGGGGGCGGGGAGGCCTCGGCTCCCTCACTGCCAGCTGGGCTCAGAGCGAGTCTGAAGCTGCCTCCTCTGAACACGGCCCTGCCGCCCCCGCCCAGAAGAGCCCTGGCCCCGCCGCCGCCGCCGGGGCCGGGGCTCACCTTCATGCGGTCATACTTGTCGTCCACGTCCTGCAGCCAGGAGATGAACTGGCGGGCGTTGAACCGGTCCCGCACTGACTTGTTCTCATCACCCTGGCGGGAGAGTGAAGCACGTGTGGGCGTCCGGGAGGGGTGGGCCTGGCACGCCAAGCCCCGGGTCCCCCGGTCAAGGGCTCCCTCCCCCACCAGCTCTCCACGCCGTCCGTGGGGGGAGCTGCCCTGTGGTGACTCAGGACCCCGGCGGCGCGTTCAGGCTCCCCTCCGTCTCCGTCTCCTGGGAGGCCCCAGGGCGAGCTGGCGAGGGTAAAAAGCGGCAGTGACTTTTCCTTTGACAGGACGTCTGCGAGGCCTGGGGTGGCTGCAGGCCGCCCACGGTGGACTGTGGTTTACAGGCAGGGCAGCCTCGGGGAGCAGTAGGTCCCCACAGGCTCTTGCCGGCTGGGTTTGCAGGGCCTCCCGGGTCTCGGGGCGGGAAAGTCTCTCTCTCGCCCAGCCACACGCAACCACCTGCCTGGGGAAAGCCCAGGCCCCACTACAAAGGGGCTTGAGGGGAGGAGGCTGCAGCCTGAGAGTCCTGTCTGTCGTCTCCTTGACATTCAGAGGAAACCCAGCAATCCCTTAAAGGGGAGCAGATTCTTTTTTCTTTCAGATGCAAATATCAAAAAAAGCAAAGCTTCCACCCAATCCCTAAAATACTTTGTGGACAAATGTTTTTGCTTTAGGGAAAATTCGTTGCTATGCATAGTACGTTCAAGTAGAAACTTAAAGAGGTATCCTTAAAGGTTACGTGTGAGGACTCTTTAATGCACTAAAAAGAAATCAGGTTTAGCTGAACCACCGTACGTCACCATGCGGCCAACCTGGGAATGCTGCTCAGACACCCAGGGGTCTATGTGATCCACCTGTGGGCCTGGGGTCACTAGGGGCCTCCGTCAGGAGGGAACTCAGCATCGAGGCCTGGCCCAGAATGACACGCTCTGGGCTGAGAGTCACAGTGGCTGCGGGGGAGGAGAGAACATCAGGGAGGACGGGAATCGACTTGCTTTCTGCACATTTTAGATCTCCAGCGTGTCAGCCGACGGGTGGGGCCCTCAGGAGCACAGGTACCACAGGGACAGCACAGCGGTCGGCTGGGGAAGGGTGTGACCTCATGGGACAAACACAGCCCTGGGGGCGGAGGGAGGCGGCCTGGACTCTGGTGGACAGACGAGGCACACCGTGTGTCCAACTGCTGGGCGCGCCCTGGGCCCGCATGCCCGTCGGGGGCAGCAGCCCTGTGGTCCCCAGCGTGACAAGCCTCTCTGGGGCCTTCGGTGAGGAAGCCCTGGTGCAGCAGCTCCGGCCGCTGCGCGGGCAGACCGCACGCGAGTCTCCGGGGGCCCGTGACCCCAGCGCTGCTCCAGCCCCCCGCAGGCCCTCTCACCCGGACGCCCACCTGGCTCTCGAGCGGCATGTTGTACACCTCCGAGTCCAGCAGCATGGTGCAGGCGCTGAATGGCACCGCCTGGTTCGCGATGGTCCTCGCTGCCCGGCAGTGAACCCGCAGGATCTCCTGTTCGCAGGAGACGATCAGCTTCTCCTGGAAGAGAGGGGCTGGTGAGCTGAGAGCCACCCAGGCCGGGCGCACTGGGCCCGCGGCTGCCCGCTTACCCGCTCGATGCTGTGCTGCAGGCGCAGCTTCCCACGCACGGCCTCCTGCTGCTTGAACAGCTCCTTCAGGGGCTCCGCCAGGGAGGGAGGGGGCGCGATCTGCAGTCACAGGGGGAGACGGGGGTCAGCGGGGGCCGTGAATCACCCCAGCCGCCCCACTTGCAGGAGTCACCCCGGAGACCACGGTCCCATGAAGACGTGGACGCGCTGGGGGATGCCTGTCCCCAAGAGTAGGTGAGCGAGCGCCCGCACCCCCCTCCCCCCCCCCCCCCGCGTGCGGCTGGGAGAAGGGTGGCCGGGGAGGGAGCGGCAGAGATGGGGGAGGCGAGGGAAGCTAAGAACAGAGGGCATCTGCACCTCGGCCCTTGCGCAGCCAAGAGGGGATGGAGGAGGGGCAGGGTGTCCTCTGTTTACCGTGGGCTTCACGCACCCTGAGACCCACTGGGACACAGCTGCCCAGAAGCCACACGAACAGGACAACTGGGCCCGCCCCTCTTCCCAGGGCGTCAGTGAGGGAGAGGGCTCGCCGGGGCACTACCCCCAGATGCCGGAGGCCACCCCTGAACCCAGGAGGGCGCTTCTCCCAGGAGAAGAAGCCGGTGCTTCCAAAACACACAGGAAGCGTGTCACAACAGCACCAGATACGGGCTGGAGCCTCTCGTGGGGCCAGGAAGCACGGGACTGCCGAGGAGCCCCTCCCTGGTGGCCGAGGCCAAGTAGGGTGCGGTGGCTCATGTGGCCACAACCTCGGGCTGGAGGGGAGGAATAATGCCCACGGTACAGTGGCCGCCACAGACAAGACCCTCTGAGGGGCTGGACTCGAGGCCCAAGCTCAAGGTACATGCTCTCTTCCAACTTTTCGGTCCAAAATTCTCAAAACCCGAGATGAAGCCACCCAGCCAGGTCTCTTTGGCTGCACGTCCTGCCCATCATGCCCCGGGGGCCCAGGGCACCGGCCTCCCCTTGCCTCTTGGGCGCCTGCGGTGGTCTCTGTATAGGGGTCTTGTTTGGGGCTGTTGTGGGTGTGAGGTCACCTCCATTTCACCCTCCCCGGCTCCAGAGGGTGTGGGAATGAGGCCTCGGCCTGCCCTCACCCCCAACAGCCTGGGCCTGGCTGCGGGGCGACAGGCTGTGAACCGGAGCCCGCCGCTAGAACGGAGCCCGCCGCTAGAAAGGGCTGAGCTCCAGGAGACACACAGGCTGCTGCCAGGTGAACTCGGGTGGCGGGGGTCCAGGGGGAGGCAGGAGCACGGCTTTCTCTCTAGTTTCCAAATGTTCTAGGGGGCGGTGCTGTTTGTCTAAATTTTAGTTACTGAAACCAAACAGCAGCAAAGTCTCACTGACCAGGGATCCCAGGCCAGGTTCCCCTGCATCCAGTGCCTCGAGCTCCCCCTCTCGGCTCCACTTCCTGCCTGGGAACAGGCGGCGCAGGCCGAGGTCTGAGCGCAGGACGCATCCCATGCAGCACCGACGACCGTTACGGGGGCTTCTCCCAGGCCCGAGAGACAGAACAAGCCGAAAGCTGGGCTTTTTTTCCTCACGGCGGGGGGGGGGGGGGGGGGGGGGGGGGGGGCTGGTCAAAAACTGAGGCAAGTCCGCCACCCAGCTGTGGATGGGCAGCACCTGGGCAGCACCGTGAAGCCTGGGGGCCGGGGCAGCTCTGGCTACCACTGAGCACAGGTGGCTGAGATCAGCTTTACTGGCCGCAACGCCTGTGCCTGCTGCCTGGAGGGGCGGGCGGGGCAGCAGCACGTGGAGGATGCGCGCTCCCCGCGTGGCTTTCTTCGTGTGGCAGGACCTGCCAACGGCCCGCGTCTGGGCGTGAAGAGGCGGTGGGGTGTGCGCGGCGGGGCTCGGACAGGTCACGTCTGCACAGACGTGGGGCGAACCACCCAGGGGAGGGGGCACGCGAACAGACGGCCGAGAGGCGGGGCGTGGGCCTGACTGGGCAGGTGGGGAAGCCCGGAAACCCGAGGAAGGACCTGCTCTGAGGAGGCAGGAGAGGTGCCCTCAGGCCTCTAGAGGAAAAGGTCTGGGCTCTGGGCTCGGGCCTTGGGTTGGCACGGTGGGGCCGCTGGGGGCCAGGGTTAGAGTCTGGGGAGCCCTCGGGCTGCGGGGGCACTGAACCAGAGGGGGCCAGGCGTGCCCCACGTGGGTGGAGCCTGGGTCAGCCGAGGTCCAAGCACGCGGACTGGGTGGGAGCCGCCATGGGGCAGACGGAGAATGACAGGGAGGACAGCGCAGCGGGTCCTGGGCCTGGGGGGCGCCCCCCGCCCGGGCAGGCACTCACCACGGGGATGTGCAGCTTGCTGAGTGGCTTGCCGTCCAAGAGGTAGGAGCCGGTGTAGGTGACGTACTCGGCATAGCACTGGGGCGCCTGCGGGCTGATGTAGCAGAGGATCTTGCGCTTCTCCTCAATCTTCTTCCTGATCTGCAGGTACTCGAAGTACGGGTTGGACCTGTCGCTGTGGTAAGGCTCGATGTCGTCCAGCTTGATGGCGTCTACGATGGCAGCCAGCGTCTGCTGGATCACCTCCCGCGTCTGACGCGTGGACGTGTGCATCTGCTGGGCCAGCTGCTGGCTGGAGCGCTGGAAGCGGCGTTTGCGCGGGTGCTGGGCCTGGGGGTCATCGTCCTCAGAGCCGCGGCCCTTGGCCCTGGGGGTGGGCGCGGCCGCAGCCTCCTTCTCGGTGGGCGGCGAGCTCTGCTTCTGCTGGTTGGCCAGCATCTGGGCCCGGGTCCTGGTCATGCGCTGGGGGATCTCCTCCACCTTGGGCGCCTTTGGGGCTTCGGCTGTCGGTTTGGGTTCCGGTTCGGGGGCTTCAGGCTGGACGCCGTCCGGAGGCCCCTCGAGCCCGGCACTGTCCTGGGGGCCGGCCCCATCCGCTGCGCGGGCCTGGGCCGAGCCGTCCCCGGGGGCGTCGGGAGCACTGTGGGGCGTGGCCGAGGGGTCTGGGCCCTCGGCCTGCTCGTCCCCACTCCCCGGTGGATGCTGCTCTGAGGGGGCTGGCGTGGGCCCAGAGCCAGGGTCGGAGTCCTCGGGGGCCCTCCCCTCCGGCCCGGCCCCGGCCTCCACTGTGGCCTCGGGCAGCGCGACTGGCTTCGGCTCCTCTGGGGGCTCAGGCGCAGGCTCAGTTGTGAGCCGGGCGGCCACCTGGTCAGGAGGCAGCACCTGCTGTTCCTCAGCAGCTGCCACAGAGATATCCCCGCCACTCGGGAGCGCAGGGGCGTTGTCCAGAGGAACGAGAGGACTCTCTTCCACAGGCTCTGCTTCGACATAGGAAACATCCTTCGTCTGGAGAGGAAGCTCCGGCAGCGAGAAAGGCCCCAGGTCGAGGTCATCCTCGGTGGCGGGGAAGGCACCGGGCCAGGGCACCGGCTCCACCTGGCCGAGGGCAGACAGGTTGTGACCACTTTCCAGGAAGTTGTTCTCCAGGGGACCCAGGGCCTCCACCTGAGCCACGGCCGTCACACACGCAGGCTCGGGGGGCGCGTCGGGGGGCGCTTCCGGAAGGGACTTGCAGTTACTGAAGAAGGACTCCAGCCTGGAGGGAGGGGCAAACGCGGCTGGCTCTTCTAAAGCAGAGACCGCGGCCGGGACTGCTTCCCCGGCCTCGTCCTTGACTTCCAGTCCCGGCTCGGGGACCGACAGAGGGTATGAGACGGGCGACACCGGGTAAGGGGGCTCCGGGTGGAGAGACTCGGCAGGGCAGAAATGTTTCGGGGACTCCGGGAATCTCTGTGGGGACTTCAGCAGGAGGTCCGACCCCACGGGCCAGCTGGCGGGGTTTTCGGGGGTGCCCCCGATGAGGCCAGAGGGGAGGCCCTGCTCCACGGTGGCAGGGTGCGCCCACTCGACCGGCTCCTCTGTGATGACCGTGCTGAAAGGGCCCTCGTCCAGGGGCTCCAGGAAGCTGGGCTCCGGGGGGATGATGGCCGCGGTGGCCTGCTGGTCCTCCGTGGCATCCAGGGGAATGCCAAGGTCAGGGGGAAGGGCCCCCTCCATGGACGGGGCCAAGAGCTCGTCTCTGTGTGAAGGGGGGGACTTCGTCGGTAAGCCGGAGAAGGCACCCTCTGGGGATGGGGTGATGTTGGCTGCGGCCGCAGGCGGACAGTGCAAGGCGTCCGCTTTGGGGGAGGGGATGCCATAGTCCGGGGAGTAATACCCCGGAGACAAGCAGGCGAACTTCTCGGTGGGTGCTGGGGGCCCCAGGGCCTTGTCCTCCGGGTGCTGCCCCGGCGAGCTGTAGCTGGGCGCCGCAGGGACGCTCTGCTGTCTGAACAGCTTGTCCCCGAGTCCGAACTCTTCCTCAGGGGTCCTCCTGATGTCCACAGACACCGAGCGGTAAAGGTTCGCGCACAGCGGCCTCGTAGGTGTCTGGCCCGGTGTTTCTGAAGTCCCGCTGGCGGCCACGGAGAACCTGTCAAAGAAGGAGGGCGAGCAGGCGCTGGCGGACGTGCTGGACACGGGCTGGGGGTCTGTGCAGTCGAACATGAGGTCGGGGTAGTCGTCGGCGCTGCAGGACGGGGTCCGGGGCGTGTGCATGGCCTCCTCGTAGCTGGGGCAGGACACCACCGAGGCGGGGGTGGGGACCCCGGTGGGCCGGCCGTGGTCCGGCCTGGGGGAAGCGGGCAAGACCTCTTTCATGTGGGGGCCTGCCAGCCAGTCTCGGGGGTCCACCGCGGGTCCCGGGTGGGGCTTGTTCTCGGCAGCAGGGGTGGCAGGGGCTGACTCCTTGAGCTTCCTGTCCTTCGGGGCAGGGTCCAGCCCCAGCGGCTTCTTCGGTGGGCCGTCCAGGCCCTTCTTCCGCCCGTCCTCGGCGGGCCTGGCCTTGTCCTTGAGCTTGGGGTCACCAGACCGGTGGCGCAGCTTCTCCATCTGCTTCATCCTCTCCTTGTGCCGTTTGTGGCGCTCCTCGATCTCCAGGTCCTTCTGGGAGAGCATCCGCTCGAAGCTCGTCATCATCAGGTCCCCGTCGCCCAGGAGCTTTTCCCGCGGCCGGACGTCTTTCTTACTGGGGTCTCTGACCGGGAGGAGCTTGTCGTTCCCGTTGCTCAGCTTTACGGGGTCGCCCTTGTCCTTCTCCAGATTCTCCTTGACCTTCTCCTTCAGCTTGGCCTCGCCAAGCTTCCCGCCCTCGTCCTTGGGCTTGTCTCGGAAGGAGCCGGGAGGGTTGTCCTTGTCCCTGGCCGCGGGCTTGAGCTCCTCCCGGTGGTGCCGTGGGGGCCCGTCCCCGTGCCGGTCCCGGTGCCGCTCCTTCTCGTCCCGCCACCGCTCCCGGTGCTTCTCCCGCCGCCTCTTCTCCTTCAGGAGGCTCACGGTGCTAGAGCCGTAAGGCCTCAGTTCCTTCTCTACCTTCTTGGGAGGTTCTCTTTCAGGATCATTTTTCTCCTTCTTTTCGGTAGAAAACAACTCGATGGTTTTCTCTAATTCGTCCTCTGCGTCGGCCTTGATGCTGCCGTAGGAGAGGCCGTAAGTGTCGGCCTCCAGGACCTCCTTCTCGTACTGGCTGCTGTCCTTCCGGCCGCCCGTGTCCTTGCAGTCGTCGCTCTTCTCCTTCTTCTCGGGCTTGTCTTTCCTGACCCGCTCTCGGTCATGGCTCTTCTTGGAGGAGGACGAGGCGTGCCGGTGCCGCTCCCTCTCCCGTGCCCGCTCCTCCGGGGGCTCCGGGAAGGGCGCCTCCAGGAGGGCGCCGAGGCCCGGGTCGTGGCCGCGGTCGGGGAAGCCGTCCGACGACGCGTCGCTGGCCTTGTCGTTGGAGTCCTCGCGCAAGTCCTGCAGCGCCGCCTCCTCCAGCCGCTCCAGCAGGCTCTTCTCCGCGTCGGTGCCCTTGCTCGCCTTCCTCTCGCGGCCCTGCTCCCGGTCCGGCCTCTCCCGGTGCCTGCTCTTGGCCTTGTCCTCCGCAGGGGGCCTCTTCTCCCCCTTCTCGGGGAGCCTCTGCTTGTTCCTCTTGTCCTGCGTGGAGTCCACCGACGCTCGGTCCTTCCTGTCCTTGTATTTTTCCGTGGACTCTCTGTCCTTCTTCTCTTTGTGCTTTTCCAAGGTTTTTTCTTTCTTGTCCTTCCCCCCGTCTGTGGCGCCCTTCTCCTTCTTCTTCTCTCTGATTTCTTTGTCTTTCTGCTTCTCCGCATGCTGCCTGTCGGCCGAGTGCTTCCGGTGCCTGTCGGGGGGGTGCGGCTCCCGCCCGTCCTCCCTCTCGGGGGGGCCATCCCCCCGCCCCTCGCCGGCCTCCCCGACTTTGAATCCGCTCACCGCGTAGTCATCTTTTTCATCTTCGCTTTCATCAGTGAATATGTCTGCAATGTACCAGCTTTTCTCTTTACCCTTCTTTTCATCTTTTTTTTCAGAGAAGTCCTCGGAGAGAATTCCGGGGAAAGTCTTCTCCCGTTTGTCTTTACCTTGGTCGAGAGATGCTTTTCTCTCTTTGTCTTTGCTGTGCACGTCTTTATGCTTTTCCTTGGCGTCCTTTTTCTCTTTGAAACACTTATCAAGTTCTTTGTCCTTCTGACACTTCTCAAGCATCAGTCTTTCGTTTCTGTCCTTGTCACTGGACTTCTCTTTGTGCTTCTCCAGCTTTAGCCTCTCCTTCCTCTCCTTCTCTCTCGCCGGGTGGTGCCTCTCCCAGGGCTCCAGGCTCTTCCCGAAGTCGCAGTCGGGCCTGTCCTTGAAGACTCCCTCGCAGCCGCACTCCTTCAGGTCCTCCCTGTGCGCCTCCTCGGGCTTTGCGCGGCCATCCCTCCGCTCCTTGGCGGCCTCGGGGGGCTCCTTCCTGTCCCGGCCGCCTTCCGCACACTCCCGCCTCCTCCTGTCCTTCTCGCAGAGGTAGCCGGGCACGGCCCTGTGCCTGTCGGCAGCGTGCTCTCTCCTCCGCTCCGAGCCCCGTTCCAGGCAGTCCCTGTCCTTCTTCCGAGAGAAGATGTCCCTGTCCGTGCGCTTCTCCCGGGCCTTGTTCTCCCGCCTCTTCTCCCTACTGTCCTCTTTCACCGTCTCCAGGATCAGCCTGGCCACAGACTCGCTCTTCATGTCCCTGTAGTCTGTCACTGCAGAGTCCCAGCTGTCTTCCCCTTTGAAATCGAAGGATGAATCTGACAAGTCAGAGAACCACCGATCCTGGTCATCAGAAAGACTAAACTTGGTGTCTTCGTTCTCCAGAAACTGACTTTTGTTACAATATTCATCAAAAGCAGACTCCTCCCTATACACTTTTTTGAGTTTTTCTTTATCCTCTTTGAAGGTCTTCTCCCTCTCTTTTGAAATTTTATCCTCTTTAAAGTCATTCTTTTTCTCTAACTTGGAGGGCCTGTCTTTGGACTTCTTCTTTCTTTCCTCCTTGTAGAGCCTCAGCTTTTCCTCTTTTGGAGATTTTTCCTTCAGCAGCTTCTCCTTGTCGGCTTTGCTGCACCGGTCCTTCTCCTCCCGGAAGGCCCTGCCCCCGTCCTTGTTCAGCTCCCTGATTCTCTTGAGCGACTTCTCCTCTCTGGAGACCTTGATCATCTCGTCCTTGAAGAGCCACTCCTTCTCCTCCGACTTCATTTTGCTGAGCTTCTCCTCCTTCTTACAGGGGTCTCTCTCGTGTTTTAGGCCTTTCAGCTTGCCCTCAGCCGGCACGTCGTCCAGGAGGATCGCCTTGTCTGCCCTCTGCTTGGAGTCCTCGTACTCGTAGGTGAAGCTCTTCAGCTTCAGCTCCTGGCTGACGGAGCACAGCCCCTTCTCCTTGCTTTTGTGTTTATGTTTCGTCTTGTGTTTCTTGACGACTTTGCCCTCCTTGTCCAGCTTGGGGATGGCGCCGTCCCCGCCAGGATGGAAGGAGTTCTTCCTATCGGGCAGCGCGCCCTGCAGGCCGGCCCTCTTCCTGTGCTCCTGCCTCTTCCTGACCGGCTTCAGTGACTCCACGCTGGAGCCCTCGGAGGAGCCGTCAGACTCGCTGCTCAGTCTCGTCCTCGTGGAGTCTGATAAGGAGCTGACCTCGGACCAGGCTGGAGAGGAGATGGTTTTCCAGTTGTCTGTCCGCCAGTGCTTGGCGTGCGGGTCCGCGTGGCTGGGGTTATGCTTCTGGGGGGCGGAGCTGCCGTGGGACGAGGTGGAGGAGGCGGACAGGGAGCTGAACAGGGCAGGGTCCTTCAGCACCAGCGGGGACTCCTTGAGGCAGCCGGGGCTCCCCGCCGAGCCCCCACCGTCCTCGCCGCTCTCCGAAGACTCGCTCTCGGACTCGGAGGAGCAGAACTTGTCGCTCCTCTTCCCAAACCGCACTTCCTTGCCCTTGGTTTCCTTCTTCCGCTTCTTCTTCACTTTCGTTCTCTCCTGCTGCTGCTTGCAGCTGGAAGGCTCCCGTGTCTTGTTGCCAGGCAGTGTCGTGTGAGCCGAGAGTCTCAGCTTCTCCCCGGTCCCCACGGCGACACCGACGTCCTCCTCGTCTGACGTGTCCGACAAGATGCGGTGAGACGCCTTCTTTGGTGCAATCGTGCTGTTTTTAGTGTAACTTTTCACTTCCATTTTGGGTATAGAAATAAAACTATTTGACTTAGTTTCCTTCCTGTAATCCTTTTTCAGCAAATGTTTGTCGTCCACGGGAGGGATTCTGTCCTGCTCGTCGTCCTCGTCGAACTCATACTCATCCTTGACGGGGGTCACAGTTTTCTGGGGCTCCGGATTCTTAGTCTTGTGCTTCAGACCTTTCTCAAACTCGGAGTCCGTGTTATTGCCGTCGACTGAGCTGGAAGGTGCGAACGATGGGGCGTCGTCCTCCTCCTCGGAGCTCTCTGCGGGGACAGGGGGGAGGAGGTCAGAGGTGCTTCAGGCAGGGGCTGCGGGCACCTGGGGAGGGGAGGGGAAGGCGCCCGCCCAACAAGCGCGTCACCTGGCTTAGTTCAGGTTGAGGCTGGCCCTGGGCAGAGGGGCTACAGAGAGGTCTGCACAGACACGGGGCTGGAGGCCCTGCACGGAAGATCCCCATCCCGGCTCAGGGGGGGGAACTCCTCACGGGCCAGAAGCTCCCGTCAGCAGCAGGCATCCAAGGAGGCTGCCGGGAGAGCCCTGCTGACCGCGGTGACGCCACCTGCCCAGCCCGCGCCCCCGCAGCACTGACCGGCCGAGCTCTCCTCGCTGGACGTGTAGGTGCCCTTGCCCAGCAGCAGGTTCACCATGGTCGGGGAGCTGGCCACCTTGAGCGGCGTCTCGCCCTTCCTGTTGCTCTGCTGAGGGTTCCCTCCATACCGGAGCAGCAGCTTCACCACCTGCGGAGCAGTGAGAGGCCCGTCAGGGACCCTGAGAAACACTGAGCGGCCACCACGCCGATGCCCAACTGCGGCCCCTTCACAGGGCCTGAGCACGACCAGGCCAAGGGGTGGAGGCTGTTCACGCTGCCCGCGAGGCCTCTCCCACCAAAGACCCACCACTCAAACAGGCTGCTCCTCTCGAGCCGCCGGGTTCCTGCAACTTGGGGGGAAGGCTTTTATGGGGGGGTGGGGGCGGGGGCGTGTCACACAGTAGAGAAAACAAAGACCAAGCGTGTGCAAGCAGGTTTATTGCATGTTTGTTTATTGCAGGAAAGTAAGATCACCTGTCGCTAATCCGTGCCCAGGACCCACTGAACGCAAGGACAGCAGACCTCACTTTACTGCGCTTCAGATGCCGTGTTGTCTACAGGCTGAGGGTCTGTGGCGACCCTGCACCCAGCAAGTCTACTGGCGCCATTTCCCCGACAGCATTTGCTCACTTGGTGTCTGTGTGTCACATTTTGGTAGTTCTCGCGGTATTTCAGACCCTCCACCAGCAAAAAGATCACGACTCCTGGAGCTTCAGGTGACAGTTACATTTTTTAGCAATAATGTATTTCTCTTCTTCTTTTTTTTTTAAGGCCGCATGGCACAGCATGCAGGATCTTAGTTCTCTAACCAGGGATTGAACCCGTGTCCCCTGCAGTGGAAGCGTGCAGTCTTAACCACTGGACCGCCAGGGAAGTCCTGCAATAATGTATTTCTTAACGAAGGAGTGCAACTTGTTTATAGATACTGCTATTGCACACCAAACGGCAACTGTCCAGTGCAGACAACGTTCAGATGCACCAGGAAACCAAAGAATTCTGTGTGACTCACTCCATCTCGATCCTCGCTTCACTCGGGTGGCCGGGGCGGAACCGACAGCCTCCCCCAGGTGCCTGGCAAACGGGACGGCGGCCTCCACTTCAGCCCGGGCTGCACGCAGGTGTACCTGGGTCTGCATGGCGGGAGCAGGACACTGCTTCCTGGGCAGGTGCTCCCCTGCCCTCTGACAAATCACCACAGTGTTGGACAATCCTGGGGTCAGAGTCAGGGCTCTGGTCCCGTGTCCTTGCTGTCTGCCAGCCGACGAACACCCCAACTGCTTCAGGCCACCACGTTCCCTGGCTACGGCCCCTCCCTCTGAGACCAGCAACGCAGGTTAAGTCCCCTCAATGCTGTCCTCCCTCCGGCCGAGAAAGGGTCTCCACCATATGCAGCCCCGAAGACCACCAGCCCACCCGGACAGTCCTGGGTCATCTCCCATCTCCTGGCCCTCAGCCTTCTCCCCTCTGCAGAGCCCACACCTGAGGCCACGTGTCCATTGTCTCTCACTGCTCCCTAATAACAAGTTTAAAGACAATTACACAAGCGGAGATTCAGGCGGCGGCCCTCTCCCTCCCAGCTCCATCACCTACCAGCCAGCCAGCCTCATTTCACCCATACCCCATACCTGCCCACTGCCCCGGGTATCTTTTTTTTTTTTAATTTTTGGCTGTGTCGTGTCTGGCTTAGCTGTGGCAGGCGGGACCTTTCGTTGCGGTGCGTGGGCTTCTCTCTAGTTGCGGCGCGCGGGCTTAGTTGCCCCATGGCATGTGGGATCTTAGTTCCTTGACCAGGGATCAAACCTGCATCCCCTGCGTTGGCAGGCGGATTCTTAAGCACTGACCACGAGGGAAGTCCCTGCCTGCCCTGGTTGTTTTTAGCAAATCCCAGATATTTCATAAAGTTTTTCAGCATACTTCTCTAAAACGGCTCTTAAGAAACAGTAACAACGAAAACCCCATAAAGCCATCGTCTTCCCTAAAACGTTAACTAATTCCTGGCGTCAGCTCTGTAATCAGCACTCGGGTGTCCCAGGTGTCTCGGCATCCTGAGCTCAGAGCACCTCCCAATCTCTCCCTGCGCCAACGCGTCATTTTCACACTGGCCACACTGCCGGTTCCCTGACACCTGCCTACAGTGACCAGCGGGGCCGCCACGACAGACCAGATGCACTCAAACAGCTGCCATGTGTCCTCATCACACGCACCATCCCAGCTCTGGCCAGGGGCCTCTTGGACAGTGTGGTGGTGACCGCAGCCAGACCCTCACCTACACGTGCGGCTCCCGCATTGGACCTAAGGGGCCCTGCCCCAGGTGCTCACGGCTCCTGGGCTGCTCACCCCATGTTGTCTACCCCCGTCCAGGCTGCCGGGTCTGGCAGCAGCACAGGGACGAGGACAGGCAGAGCCCCCCTGCCTCTGGGTATGACCACTCACCTCCTAATGGCTGACCACACCTGAGTGGCCAGAGCAGGGCCCTGACACACAAGCCACAGACGGCGAGAGGCCACCCAGGTGCTGACCCAGGGTGAGAAAGCTGGGCTGGAGGGGAGGCGGGGCCTGTCAAAGATTCACTTCCTGGTCACCCCACACACAGGAAGGACAGAGAAACAGGTGGCTGCGGACCAGCGCACAGTCTAATGGCAGGCCTGCCGGGGGGTCTGCGGGGAGGCGCCCACCTTGTAGTGCCCGTTGTTGGCGGCGTCGTGCAAGGGCGTGTCGTCATCCAGGCCCTTGGTGTTCACCTCTGCGCCGGCGGCCAGCAGCTGCTTCGCCACGTCGTAGTAGCCCCGGTTGCAGGCCTCGTGCAGCGCGGTCCAGCCTGGAAACAGACACTCGGCACGTACGTGATTTAACCCTCAGGAAGGTCACTCCCGCGTCTGGGTGGCACTCAGGAAGCGCTAAGGACAGGACAGAGGCCTGGTGGGCGCCCAGCCTAGAAATGCCGACTGGTCTTTACTTGGGCGCCTCTGGGTTGCTCGTGACCTCTAGCGGTTCACCTTACAGACTAAGAATCTGCGAGGGTGACGTGGGCCACCAAGCTGACAAGGGTACAGGATCAATGAACACAGGGTCACAAGGGGCAGCCTCAGCCCAAGTCACCTGTCAACACACAGGGAGGATGTGCCCCGTCTGCAGACAGGGAAGCAGGCAGAGCGTGGCCACGGCCGCAGGTCTGGAAGGGCCTCCGTGAGCATGCGCTGAGGCCTCTCGGGGAGCGGCTGCTCACGTCGGCACGCACACAGAGCTGCCCCGTGGACAGTTCCCAGGGCTTTGGAAAAATGCAACTTAGGAAAATCGCTTTTTAAAAAAAAAAAAAAAAAGGTGCTAAACTAGGTTTGGGTCCAACACCCAGGGCCGTGGGAAAACCCAGGATTCCACACAGGAAGGCCTCCTGGTCTCACAAACGCTCCCCTCTCAGTGCACAGCTCTGGACACACAGAAAGAGCAAATAATCCTATGTAAAAGGGGGTCTGCCCCGCGGCCCTCCCTCCGAGCTCTCACCTGCGAAGTCCTTGACGTTGACGTCCGCCCCCTCGCTGATGAGCTCCTTGATACGCCGGGCGTCCCCCCGGATGGCCGCCCGGTGTAGGCGGGTCTCTCCACGCTCATTTCTCTTGTTCACTTTATCTTTGGTTTTTGAGGCAGAATTGGGCGTCCCCTTCTGACACACTGTCGACTGGGAGGGGTGCTTTGGTGTCGTGTCCACTGCAGGCCGAGGAGAGGATGGGGGGGGGTTACCGGGAGGGACCTGCGGGGCTGGGCCACCGTCCCAAAGGAGGGCCTCCCAGGCCCCAGGACCACCTGCCCCCAGGGCTCACCTGGGCTGTTGGCAGACTCCTCGGCCGTCATCTGCATGAGGAGAGCCACCTGCTGGCGCTCCGAGAGCGGGTAGCCGGCGCGGATCCCAGACAGCCCCATGCCGAACAGCAGCCCGGCCTTGCGGGCGACAGGCTCCTTCTTGATCCTCTTCCGCTCGGGACCCTGCTTCTCTGTGAGGCGTGGAGGAGAGAGGGGAGACTTCATGCCACGGAGCCCTCTGACTCCGGGGCCTCACAGCCTGCGGGGGAGGGGAGGGACAGCTGGCAGCACGCACGCTGCCCGTCATCACCTCTTCCGGCAGTAGCTGTGCTGGGGACACGATTCCGACACCTCGTCACCAGCCACTGAAGCCAAGCCTGGCCCCCACCGACCGTCCACCGCTCCAGGTGCCTCCCCAGACCGTGCCCAGCGCGCCAGGCGGCGGGACGGACGACCCCGAGTCCCGGCTCACTCAGAACGGGCCTCGGTCTAGCAACTCCTAGTGTCTGTGGTCCAGGTCCTCCTCCCCACCCCGCCTCCAAAGAGTTCAGATGTAAATGCAAACACAGCTTAGAGACCCGCGGAGAGGTCAAGGCTGGCTGGGCGGTACTGTACCTTTCTTCTTGCTTCTAGGAGCCTCCATCTCATGCCATGGCGCTTCGAGGAGCGAACCAGCCTTGCAGTACCACGGCGTGGACTGAGCTGGAGGCATCTAAAGGCATCAACACAGAGCACTAACGAGATACGGCGCCAGCCCGGCGCCCCTCAGCCTCCTCACGACAAGCATACTGTGCTCCTCTGGCCCCTCACCTAACACCCTGCCAGCCTCAGGCAGAAACACTGTGCCGTGTCTTTCACAGGGGCAGGGGGGGCGGAGAGAAGAGACACCCCCCACTCCACCGACCAGGAGCCAAAAGCTCACTTTGCTCCACACTCACCCTCCTACTCACAGGAACTGGGGCTCCGTCGAGTCTCAGACCCCTCCCCTGCTGCCCTGTGCGCTCTGGGGAGCCCGGGGATGGGGGGGCCTAGGTCACGGGTGCGGACCACGGGGAGGGAAGCTGGGTCGCCACGGGGCCTGGGTGTCTGAGGGGCTCTCCCTGCTCTCCGCGTCCCCGGGCTGGGGTGACCTCTCCACTCCCACAACTACAACCCTGGGCTGCTCTCCACCTCAGGCCCCACAAGCGTGTCACGCTTTCCATTTTCTTACAAGGCGTTTTCTGTATGTTATTTCCTTAAAAAGTACCTTAAACTGCCTTTTTAAAAACTAAAGTTGTGATCTGCTGACAACGGTGATCTGTGCATCTTAGGTGATGACCCCCAAGCACCACAGACCACCCTGCCAGCAACAACTGGTTTTTAACCAACGCACGAGGCATAGGCCCAAGCAAGGGGGAAATTCAGAAAGGACGCTCCTCAGGGGTGACCAAGGACCCTGCTCGCCTTCTCCCCCGCCCCCAATTCCCCCACGACCCCGCAAAAGCAGTGAGGAAAGGGCGGCACATGGCCCCGGCTCTTCGAGGAGGCCTCTGCACAGGGCACAGCTGGCACCCAGCAGCTTCAAGGAGCCCCGAGAAACGAAGCCACGCTGGGGCAGTGGCCGGACCTGGGCAGGAGCCTGGCTCAGAAGCTCTCGCACAGCTGAGCGCCACACGGATGGGTCTGGGGGTCGGGGCAGGGGGAGGCCGTGTGGCCCTGCCCGCGCCCTGTGACCTGGGCCCTGCTCTGCCCAACCTCCTGGGAAGCACAGCCTGGCCTCAGACAATCGGGGTGTCTGGCCTCTCAGGGGCGGTGGAGACACGAAGCCCCAGAGAAGAGGACGGAAGCAGAGCCTCAGCAAAGCGCGTGGCCCCGCGGCCTCCGGCCGGGCAGTGGGTGGCACCTGCTGAGCACACCGGGGCACCTCAGGGGTGGAAGCAAGCAGCCCAGCCCCCCTCTCCGCAGCGCATGGGTCAGGACACACGCGCCCGTGGTTTAAGATGCCAGAGGAACGCGGCAGAAGGGCCACAGCCACCTCTGTCTTCAAGCGACCGTACAGGCAGTGGACGCCCAGGACCAGGGAGGTGCCTCGAGGGTCTTGCCTGCGCTGCTGTTGAGTGGCAGCGAAGAAGCAACTTCTACCCAGAGACTCTGATGTCGGCGGCAGAGCTGGGCCCTGTGGCACCGGCCTGTGGTCTCAGGAAAGGGCTGGGAGAGCTGTAAGGCTCAGGCAACCCCAGCACGCGTCCACACCTGCCCAGGGGCCCTGCTCACCCCACACGTGGAGGAGAACAGACTAACCCTCTGGTCTCCCCAGGCTTAACACAGGAAAAAACCCCAAATGTAATCCCATCTTCTGAGACACCAACTTCTCAGTGGTGGAGTGTACTTCTCTACAGGTGCCGCGGCTGCCGGGATCTGCAGAGCCCACGTCTGGCCGGGCTGGGAGTCGCAGGTGGAGCGGCTGCCCACGGAACCCGGGCCACAGAGGAGCGGAGGCCAGGGCGCTCGTGCTGCAGAAGGGCCCTCCTGCCCAGCCACTGCGTCCTGTCGGCAGGGGCCAAGCCGGGGGTCAACCCAGGTGAGACCTGCAGAACGTCCTTCCTGCCCTGCCCTGAGGTGGGCGACGGCCCCACCTTCCAGCGCAGGGATGGGGACACGGCAGAGGAGGTGCCCGGGCAACGACCCAGCTCCCTCAGCGCTCTGCCAACGTTTTGTTTCTCACATCCAACCGGAAGCAGAACAGAAGTTACACGAAGCCCAGGCGGCGTGTGTCAAGTTGTAGACTGGAAAACTGGCAGGTCCATGTGAGTGGCGAGCAAGGCCAAAGGGTGCTGTGGAGGCGCAGGGGCTGGAGCACACCCTGCCCCCTCGTTCCCCGGGGACGCCAGCCATGCCGTCTTCCCAGGGTAATGGGGGGAAGGCAGTCTCATGAGCCTGGACAGTGCCCTCACCGTGAGGAAAGCAAAGCACAGCCGTGTGACTCGGCCTGTATGTCCATGGCGCCTTGATTCTCACGCTCAATCACCTCGCTCGCTGGTCCTCTGTGAAATCAGGGCCACGTTTATCATCTCTTCCTGGGACACGGTCACCCAGCTAGGAGATGCAAGGATCCCCAGCCCCCCAGGCCATCCCTGGGTTTCCCCCTAAATGCTGTTCCTGTCTCCCCCAGAACACGCCTCTGCACTCCTCCCACAGCCCCCGTGGCCTCTGCTGGGGCTGGGCCTGAGGAGGGCGCAGCCCTGAGGGCCTCTGTTTCAGGACCCAGCACCCAGAGTCCACTCCTCCTGGGGAGTTTCACTCCCCAGCAAAACTGACGGCGTCCAGTGGAGAACTTCCCCGAGTCACGGCGAATCCTGGCAGCAAAGACACAGAGTGAGCTTCTGGGAGAAGATCTCCTCTGGCTTCCGGGACGTGGTCTGCAGACACTCTCCTGGCCGCCTTCTGTGTCCCCTCGGGCGGTCCCGTGGTTCCACACGACGCTCTGCGTGGAGCCCGCACCCTGCGCAGACACCGGCGGCCCCGTGTGCTCCTCTTGGACCCCGGTCGGCAACTCCCCTGCTTCCTTCTGTGCCTCAGCCAAGGCGGCGTCTTTAGGTTCAGCAGCTTCCAGCTCACTCACCCTGCTCATGGTGGACCCGGTAAGCGCTAGAACCCGTCCCCCGCCCAAATGCTTCGTTTCAGCAATCGTTTCTGCTGCCTTATGCTCTGTTTTACATTGTGAAAACCCTGCCTGATCTTCTGGACGCTGTTCTGTGTCTGCTCGGGTGCCTTCCTCCTGTGGCGGCCATCTCTGGGTCCAATCCTCGTCTCCGCTCTGGGGCCTAGGAAGGCGCACAGAGGCCCAGGGAGGGCCAGCCCCATGGGGGCAGGACGGCGTGAGCCTGGGGAGCCCTCTCGGCCCCCAGGCTGGAGGATGGCATCTTCCAGCCGGAGGTGTCGGCGGGCACAGCTGCCCTCAGCCCGTCCACTGCCACCAGAAGCCCCGTGGCTGACAACCAGGGCATACCAACGTTGCCGAAAGTGGGAAATCTATGACTCTCCTCAGATGTCACCATTGTCAGGGCTCCGCCCTGTGGTGGGGAGGGGGCGGAGGAGGTCCTCGGTCTCCCATGCAGTTGCAGGGCTCGGCCCACGGCAGGCTGATGGGAGGTGGGTGGTCGGCACTGGGACCTGCTGTCCCAAGAGCGGCCCGTCCCTTGGCCTCAGAGCACACCTCCCACACCACACAGGGCCTGACCTCCTCGATCAGTCACAAACACAGGCTTCTGACCAAGAAGCCGGCCCAGGCACAGTCCACGTGTGACAGATACCCCGTCAGGTGACGTGCTGCACGGGGTCCTCCCCGCATTACACTCCGACCCTCCAAGCGCCACTGGACCCACATGGGCACCATCATTCAGGCTGTGGTGACAAACGGCTTCCCTTCTGATTTCTTGCTCTGTGTCTCCTCCTTTTCCTTTTTAAAAAAATTTCCAGCGTTGATCGTTTAAAGACAGAGCGGTCTGTGTGGCCTTCAGCAAGTCCCCGGCCTGAGAAGGACAGGCTGGACCCCCCACGTCTCACTCCCCCGGCAGTGGCTGCTCCAGCTCCAGGTAAGGGCGACCACAGAGCCGTCCCACAGGTGACCGTGATCAGGAGGCCAGAATCTACGGAGGTGAGGTTGGCATAAAGGGCCTGGACAACAGGGGTTCCCAACCACTGACCCCAACTTTCACTACAGCAGTAAATCATAATCCAGACCGCCAGCAGCACACGAACAGCATCATCCATCCCACCGGTCCCAGCCTGCCTGGGGGCCTCCGACCACCCCTCAAGCTCCCCACACCCAAACCCGGGAGTTCACCGGGTGGAGCGGCCACCCTGACCCAGACCAGAGAGAAGCGGGCCAAGCCACGCCCTCTCGACTTGGCCTGGGATGGAGGTGGCCAGCGTCCTACACCAGTCCTGCCCGCTCTGGGGTCCCGAGAGCTCCAGGGTCACAGTGTGGGTGGCATGTGCCCTCCCAACCAGAGACTCACAGCGTGTCACGCCTGGCAGGCGGCCAAGCCCCTGCATGGTCACCCACGTGACCTCCAGCACTTGGCAGGGGGCGTGCTCAGAGCCCAGCGCCAGTGAATCCCCACACACAGGGCAGCCTTGAGCAGGAGTCCCGACAGGCCCTGCCCACCAGGGAAGCTGCGTGCCCACCGCCTCCGTCCCCAAATCCCAGCCCTAGACGGGTGAGCTGCTCACACATCCTCACTGCAGGGCCAGCACAAAGTAGAAGCAAAGAAACGTTGGGAGCTGAGAACAGGCCCCTCTCTGAAGGGCCCTGGGGGCTCCAGGTGGGAGGCGGGAGGGCTGCTGTCAGACTGAGCAAGAAGCCTGCAGGGCTTCATCCACACGGACCTCAGCAGGAAGTGTGCGTACACTTACGTTGCGGGGAAATTAAACACATAAGAAGCAGACAGCAGAGTATAATTTGAAGCAGGTCCTGGTCCCACCAAGACTGGCACCGGGCAGGAGGGCCCCCTCTCCCTGCCTGCAGGCGCCCGCCCACTGGTGGCCTGAGCTCCAGGGAGGACGCCCCAGCCCTGACTAAGCGCTGCGGGCCTCCTGGGGACCGGGAAACAGGAGGGTGCTCCCAGGGAGCCCGAGGGTCTCTGGGGGATGCTCACCAGCCTCCCCCTCTCAGGGAGCACAGCCGGAGAAACTACTGGCCACTTGCAACAGTCCCATGAGCGCCAGGCTACATCTTCCCAGCAGGGGGCGCTGGAGGGACACGGCAGGAACCAGCAGGCAGGGAGGGGACGTGGGAACACGGGGACCTTCAGCCTCCCTAGCTCGGCGCTCACCAGAGTTGGCACTTCTGTACAAGAGCCTCCCCATCTGCCCTGGGGCAGGCGGGCAGGCGGCACCTGGTGGAAGCGAGGCCTCTCAGAGGAAGAGCTTCACTCTGCCCGGCCAGGCGGCCGCTCACCAGGAAGGGCAGGGAGGGGTCAGTGACCAGGGCTGCAGGCGAGGTGCCCAGTCCTGGCCCGAAGGATGAGACGCTCCCAGTTACTGGAGACCAGTTCTGCCACATGACCAAAGCAGGTGTACAAGAAAGCTGCACGGTCAGCCCCTGAACCCCGGGGGCGGGGGGGATGGGCAGGACACAGTCACCCAGTCGAAGGCCCCCCCCTCCTCCCACACTGTGTACTACTGAAAAAGCTGGCACATAAGCGGAGCCATGCAGCTCACAGCCGTTCTGTTCAAGGGTCAATGGTACAGCAAAACTGGCCCCCAAAGGGATAGACATTCAACAGTAAGAGGACAAATGCTGGACTTTCCATGTATTTAGACTTTGTCCCTGCCTGGAAAATCCCACTTGCAAAACGTTCTTCAGTTTCCCACCTGCCTGGCGCCCCGTGCTGAGACGCCAACCGTCCCCCAGGCCTGCTGGAGGCCGCCTTCACGGCCAGCACCCCGCAGACACCCCCGAGGACGCCGCGCCCGCCTGTGCTCGGGCAGGGACATCCCAGAGGACGACACCGACCTGCAGGCCCCCAGCACCCAGGAAGCCGCACCCAACAGCGACGCCACGCCCTCCAGTACCAGAGCTGCCTTGGGCACCCAAGCCTGAGCTGGGCCTGTCTCTTCTGCACCCAGAGCCCGAGGCACAGGGTCCCTGCGAGGACTCCCACCTCCTGTGCCCTCCTCCCCGGCCCACCCCCTCCCCTTGCGGAGGACCCCGCGGAGGTCGAGCCGCCTGCCCCGGACCCCAGCCATACCCCAGCCGGCACCACCAACCCCGCCAACCTGCTTCACCAGCCTGCAACTAACCCAGGTCTCTGCTCAGTGGCTGCGGGCCTGGGGCGCACCCGCCTGGGGGTCGCCCTGTGCAGGAGGCGTTGTGAGTGAAGACGTTCATTTCAGGCTGTTCCCCCTGCCATTTCTCCCAATTCTCTCACATTTATGTCATTCCTGTACCTGCCATTTTCCTGAGACCTGACACAAACCCTCACGTGCAGCAAAGCCCCCTGCCCTCCGCCCGATCCTGGCAGGACCTCTGCTCCTTCCCCCGTGGCTGCATCCTGGGGGACCCAGGCCCCCTCGCGGCTCCGTGGATCCACCCCACACCTGCCCCTGGCTTAGGGGGTCTGCAGTCAGATGACTGGCAGGCGGGGAAGGCCCAGGACACCAGGACCAAGAGGAGGAGTGTGAGCCGGCTGGCAAAGGGGCCGGGTTCTTGTCTGGACCCAGCACATGTCCCTGCAGGCAGCTCGGATGGAACCAACCTGAACGCACACGCGCCACGTGGTGGTGAGTGGCACACCCGCAGCGCATGCGCAGGGGGACTGCGTGCCTCCTGCTCATTCTCACAGCTCCCTTTGGCCTCCATTTCAAACAACTGGGTTTAATTTATGTGCTTCTGCAGCCCTGAGGGGAAACACGTTTATCCTCCCATGTGAAGTTCTCCAGAGGCTCTCCTTGAGGGAGAGGAGCCCGTGCTCACACGCACGGGAGGCCCCTGGGCAGGCTGGGGGAACGTGGCTTCTGTGCACACTTGCGGGAATCCTCTGCCTGGGAATCTGCCCTGTCAGCTGTGAGTCACCCCCTCCCGGGTCCGTGCGGCAGAACTGGGGCGCCGGGGGCGGGTGAGTACCTGTGTCCGAGTCCTTCTGCTCTCCATTGGCGCCCACAGTGAAGGGCAGCTTCCGCTTGGTCGTTCGCTCTCTCACCTCCTTCCCACCATCAGTGCGGTCCAGCTTTGGGGTCTTGGTTAGAGAAACTTTATCTTTATCCTGGAAAAGAGAGTGACGCTTTCAGACGCTGGCCCCAAGTTAGACTCTCAAAGTCCTTACGTCTAGCAGGACTTCACGTGCCCGGAAAGCAAGTCTCTTATCTGGGCAATGGACACCCCTCCTGCCCACCAGGCTCAGAGGCACCCACGGCCCTACCACCTCGCTGCCTCCTGCCTCGTGTTCCCAGGGATGGACTCAGTAACGGGGAAAACGCACCTTCACAGGGGCCTGCTGACAGACGGAACCCGCCCTCCACTGGAAACTCTCCCTGTGACCGTGAACGAAGGGGCCCGGCCTCACACCGAACGGGAGAGTATGTCTGCCCTGAGATGCTGGCTCCCCTCCAGCGTGTTGTCCCTCGCCTGCCCGGGGCCTGAGCCACCTCTGGTCACCACAGGCCTGTGACACTGCAGGGCCGTGTTTGGGACGGATCTTGCAGCCGCAGCAGCCCCGGAGCAGAGCCCAGTGCAGGCGACCCAGCCCAGAGCAGGAGCTGGCTAGAGGGCGGCCGGGTGTGGCCATCGCTCCCAGCCCTGCTGACCTGTAAGGACCCGGGAGCCCGAACTCCAGCCTCAACCTGGGAGGTCCAGCCGGGCGTCCGCCTCGCCTGCCACGGTCTGCAGAACCGGGGGAAGCGCCACCTTGGGGGGGGAGGGCGGGGGGATCGGGATGTGACACGCCCCGCACAGAAAGGGCAGCACACAGAGCCCTGAGGGTGGGGTGGGGGCGCTCAGCAGAGCCTCAGGCTAACCAGTGCCCCGGCTCGTCTGCCCGCAGCGCACCGCACCACACCACACGGGCCAGCCAATTTGCGTTGCTGACAGGGAGGATGGCACTGCTACCGCCAGGCGGCCCCTTCTCCAGCAGCAGGCTTCCTTTCTGGAATCCACCCCAGGGAGGCGGAGGCAAACACACGGCCCTCACAGCAGCCCTCACGGCACTGGGGCGTCGGGTGCTCCTGGGAGGGGACGCCCAACCCTGAGCGGCGCGAGTCCTGTCTCCCGGGGCCCTGAGAGTCCTCCACTTGACTGCCACGCCGTGCCCTCCAGTCTCAGCAGGCAACGAGACGCCCCTGGGTGACCAAGGAGACCCCGCCACAACACACCACCAGCTCCGAGGGCACCCGGAGCGCGAAGAGGGACCAGAAGGCAGAGCCCGAGCCTCGGCCGAGCCGGTGCCAGAGGCACCAGGACACAGGCCCGCTTGCCACCACCTGCACGCACCTCCGCCCCGCCCCCCGCCGCCCCTGCCAGGAGAACAGCACCCACCAGTGGAAGCCCCAAACTGTAATAAGCAACCTGCCACCAAAAAAATTCCTGGTCCGGTTGGTTAATCTGATCGACAGACACAAAAAAAGATAACACAAATCACAATAACAACGTATTCAGAAATGCAAGAAATTAAAAAATCAATGTAATTCACCACACTAAGAAAATAAAGGACGGGGACTTCCCTGGTGGTCCAGTGGCTAAGACTCCACACTCCCAATGCAGGGGGCCCAGTCGATCCTTGGTCAGGGAACTAGATCCCACATGCCGCAACTAAGAGTTCGCATGCTGCAACTAAAGATCCCGCATGCTGCAACTAAGAGCCAGCAACTAAAGATCCCGCATGCTGCAACTAAGAGCCAGCGCAGCCAAATGAATATTTAAAAAATGTTTTTAAAAAAAAAGGATGGAAAATTATGATCATCTCCACAGCTGCAGAAAAGCCCTGAGGTCCTGAGGCCAACTCCCAGCACACTGTGGGGAGGGACGTCCCCCACCTGACACAAGTTTGGTGCGGAAGATTGGGTGCCACCGCCGAGAGGGGGTTCAAGGCAGGAATGCCTATACTCACCACATCTACTGAAAAACTAAACCTATTTTTTAATGAGCAAAAGATCTGAACACGCACTTGTCAGAAAAAAATATCCATACAGCCAGTTAACGTTTGGAAAGGTGATCGGCGTTGGGAAAATGCAAATTAAAACCAGGAGGCAACACCAGTACTCTCACAAGAATCGCTGACTGGACCGGCAGAGCAGTGGGCCTCGGACACTGCTTGGGGCCACTCAGAGTTTCTAACAAAGTCCGGGGAGTGAGTGACGTGCCACACAAACTCACAGTTTTGTTCATAAGAGTAAAAGAAAGAAAGAGCAACCGCCCATCAAAAGGCAAATGGGTGCATCCACTCCAGTGCAGCCGTAGACGGAACATTCCACAGCTGCGGGAAGATGCCGGCGGGCTGCGCCCCACCGTGACAACACGCCTCAGGGGGGCGGTCTCCTCCACGGTCAGACCAGGCCAGCCCCGCCCCCCTCTTCTTCCTGAGGGATAACAAGGAGTATTTATCTTACGACGCTGTGATTTTACACAGGAGAAAATCCAGAGGAATTTACAATTAAACTCTTCAAATTAGTAAGTGAATGAGAAGCTCAATCACACAGAAAGTGATTGGTTTCTATATACTGTAAACCATTAGGAAATCATGCTGAAATATTACATATTTATATCGAAAGACATTAAATACACAGGAATGAATCTAACAAAAGGTGTTCAAGCCCTCTACATAGACAATTACAAACATTACTGAGAGAACAGAAATTAGACTGATAAAAATGAAGGCCCACTTATGGGACACTGTTCAATACTGTTAGCACAGCATATCTCCCCCAACTCATCTCTACATTCAAAGCAATCCAATCAAAATCCAGCAGGCTTTGCGTGGAGATCAACCAGCTTTTTCCAAAATGTACATGGAAACGCAGAGGGTCACAAGTAGCAAGGACAATTCTGAAGAACAACGAAGATGGGCAAATTAAACTGCCAGGTATCAAGACTGTACAATTATAGTCACAACAGGTGGTCCTGGACCCAAGGGCCAAAGGTTCAGAGCAAAGAGCAGAAGCTGAGCCCCACTTGACTGGTGACAAGGGCTCCGCTACAACCCAGCAGGAAAGGACAGTCTTCCCAGTGACAATGACCATGTGGACATCCACAGGGAAGAAAATAAACCTTGACCCTCCCTTACAGCACAAAACACAAAATGAGTCCAGATGGATCACAGACGGAGAGCTCGCAGAGGACGGTACAGGAGACCAGCAGACGACAGAAAAAGGCAAATTAAACTGACATCACCAAGTGTTAGCACGGATGGGTCCGCCTGACCTAGGCTTTGGGGGTGCAGAACTGTGCAGTCACTTTGACGAACCATTAAACCCTATCTGCTGCCTCCATAGAAAAACCCCAGTGTATGTATGTTCACATCACACCTGGACTGGAAAGAACCCAGATATGTATCAGCACAGGAATCGGCAGAGAAGCTGCTTGAACGTCCATCCGATGGACACCACACAGCCACAGAGGAAGAGCCTCCTTCCAACAGCAAGGGCCTGTCCATCGGAAGGAAGCAGAGATCCCCACCATGAGTCCGCATCCCCTGTGGGTGGGGGCGGGGTGTTACCGTGGGGACTGCTCGCGGGGGAGGGGGGTGTCCCGAGAGCCTGGTCTGGATCATCGTGATCCCAGGTTCTAGAAAGGAAATGTGCATTTCTACTTCACTAAAAGTGCTCACAGAAAGCTTTTAACCCTCAGCCAGAGCAGAGCAGGGCAGACCTCGCTGAGCCTCCCTCACCAGTACCCAGGCACCGTCACAGGGACCAACCATACACACTCTACAGTGTGTTTACTTCCTCAATGCTAACAGGATGGCTAGACGTCAAGTTCAACCTCTATCGGGTTCAACCTCTATCAGTTCAACCTCCGTGTCAGACCGTGGCACACCCTGAAAACTGCTGTGGCCCAGCAACCAGCGTCCCCCACGGACGCTCAGCCAGCTCCCACACACCACGTAGAGAGAGAGGAGGGCTGGCTCTTAACCCGCACCCCACACACCTGCCCTGGAACCACCTCGACTATGACTAACTGAGTCTTATCTGTAAATGACCAACAACGACAGAAGCCAGTAGGAGTGAGGACTCTATCAGCCGCCAGAAACAGCACAAACAGGTGGATCTGACTGTCCCGCCTTCGTCTGCTGAAAAGATGACCCTTTCGCAATGGAGCAGCCTCAGCACCTTGTAGACAAGCAGCTGAGCACACACGTGGGTGCCTGTGGGGACCCTGCTCCCCAGGACAGGTGTGCACCTGTCTCCACTGCCCCGCAGCTTCACAGCCAAGGCCGAGGGCCTCCGACTGCCTCCTGCCTTTTCAAGGTGGCTGTTGTTGCGCCAGGTCCTTTGAATTTCCAAACACACTTTGGAAGCAGCTTATCGGTTTCTCCCCAAAAGCCCTCAGGGGCTTGGACCTGCATCACGACAGCTCTATGAGACTGGCTTGGGGAGCGCTGGTATCTGAACACTATGGAGCCACCCTTGGCCCGTAGGCCCTGCTCCTCTCCAGCGGCTCAGAACTGCCTGAATTTCCCACAGCAAAGTTCTGCAGGTTTCAGGGTGCACATCTTTCATCAAATTAATCCCTAAACAGTCTGTGTAGCCTTTTTTTTTTTTGCGGTACGCGGGCCTCTCACTGTTGTGGCCTCTCCCGTTGCAGAGCACAGGCTCCGGACGCACAGGCCCAGCGGCCACGGCTCACGGGCCCAGCCGCTCCGCAGCATGTGGTATCCTCCCGGACCAGGGCACGAACCCGTGTCCCCTGCATCGGCAGGCAGACTCTCAACCACTGCACCACCAGGGAAGCCCCACACATGTGTTTTTAAACTTCCACGCCTGACCGCTGGCTAACAGCGCTCAGAAAAGACACTCTGCACGCTGCTCTGCCCACAGCCTCGCTCCGCAGGCCTCGCACCCCGCCGCTTCCGCGCACACCTCCTGGGCCTCCTCCACAGACGGCCCTGTCGTCTGGGGGAACGCAGCTGCCCTCCCCGCTCCAGTCAGGGTGCTCCTCTCTCTCAAGGCCTGACCTGTCCCTCCCCTGCGAAACCTGCGTGGACACCTGTGGTGTCACACAGCCATGCCCGGGGAGCATCCAGGGTGGACAGCACTGCCCTGTGGAGGGGAGGGGGTCGCAGCGGGTGGCGTGTGCTTCAGCCAGCGTCCCGCAGAGAGCGGGGCAGGGCGCGGGGCTGGCTCCTCGGCCAGGCACAGCTTGTTCCTCGGGCCTTTTTCTCTATCTCCCTCTCTGCAATCCCCAGCGCCACTGGGACCGCAGGAGTCCACCTGGGACGGCAATACCCCGACCCCTTCACTGCCACCAGAAGGCCTGTCTGGAGCCCCGAGAGGAGCGGGGGCTCCCAGGGGCTTTGGATCCATGGATCCCTGCCACCCTTCCTGTGAATTCAGCATCTGGACGCGGCCTCCTACTCTCTCCTCAGTGGATTCCTCTGGGATTCCGGGAACCAGCACTCCCAGAGTTTCCCAGCGCTGGGAGGAGCATGGAGCCCGAGGCCTCTTCCCAGACCTGCTCGTAAAACCACGGGACAAAGCAGCAACAAGCCACATCCAGCTTCCACACTGAGGGCTTCTCTGAACGTCCTCCTCCTGGATCAAGGGGGGCCGGGCACAGGCCACAGCACCCCACGCAGAGCACGGGCGAGGCCACCTTTGCAGGTGGGCCCTCCCTCAGGAAGCCTGTGAGTCTGTAACTCCTACAGACCAGCCTGGGGGTCCCTCTAAGAACAGTCTGGAGGGAACACTGGGTGTCACAGCTTGTGGAGCACACAGCACACACCCCCGAGCCCAGGGCACCAGCACATTAACAGGGCACAACGATGCAGATTTACAACCCATTTTCCTATTCACATTGGCAACAAGCAAACGGGGAGTACAATTAATTACCCAGCAGCGTTTCAAGTCAGGACCACTCGCACAGCTACCGTCAGATTCGGTCTGCCAGCAACCATATGGCAGGAACCCATGGTCCTGAGGCACAGACGGTGGGGCCGAACTGGGGTTCTCTCAGACAGCAATTTCTGTCCACGGACCTAGTGCTTAAAGCTCCACTTTGGCCCCCAAATAACAAACATCCTTAAAAAAAGCCAGACGTGTCCTCCACAGCCACCCAGCACAGCAGTTCCTCCACTGCCGCCCGAAGAGGGTCTCGCGGCACAGACGTCGCCCGCTGCACAGGGACAAGCGACAGTGACACCCCCAGCCCTCCCCCGGGCCCGGACGAGGCCCACGCGGAGTGGTGGGGGAGGACGAGCTCACCTTTTTCCCGGGCTGCTTCTCCACCATGTCGCTGCTCAGGGAACGCTCCTCCTGCTGTGGGGTTCTAGAACACCCACCCTTGGGCATCGTTTCCTCCTCACCAGGCCTTTATTCACGCCGCCATCGCTTCATCGTCAACCGTCTGCTTAAAAACAGAGGGCACGGGGTTAAGGCCCAGTGACCCCACATGAAACCCAGGTGCCGCCTCCAGTCGGTGATGCACGATGCATGGACGCAGCAGCCTTCTGAGGGGGCCGCTCCTGATGCACCGGCCCGGCAGGCAGCCCCGGCAGCGGCACGTCTACCCTCCACGAGGGAGAACAGCAGAACCCCGGGGTGCACGCGGGGCCCTGCTCCGGGGGTCAGGCGCCACACATGCTCGGTGGCAGCACCCTCTGCCCACGGGCAGGGTCACACCTCGAGGTCCAGGGGATCACGCCCACCACCCTCTCGGCCACCTGCCGTCACCTGCAAAACAGCCCCCTGCCCCCACCCCCAACAGAAGGTCAGGATGAGGGCTACTCTGCCACTCAGAAAGCACCCAGCACCCCGAACTCCCCAACTCCCGCGAGTCAAATGTCCAGAAGGTAGGCAAGTGACGCCGCTGGGGAACGCCCGGAGGATGTCAGGTAGCTGTGGCGCCCACTCCTGCACGTGGGCCTGAGGCCTGGGCCCCTGCACTTCCCAGGACACATGCTGTGGTTATCGTGTTTTCTGTATTTTATGTTTTGGCATCTTCAGTTTGCTTTCTGGGGACAGACCACCCTCCCACCAGGGCCAGCCCTTTCTTGGCGATGGCCAAGAACCCCCCACAAAACCACCCACCACCCCACCTACCTCTCACACACAAGGCGCCGACTCCCCCGAACATAACGCATCCCAGGTACCACATAACCAGAGACCACCCCACAGCCCGCGGAACTGTCCACTCCGCCCATCGCCTTCCCCATGGAGACCCCAGTGGAGACGCTGGCCGACTCGCCTCTCAATCCTGTCTGCTGCTCCCAACAAGCCCGGTGCTTCCCTGGCGGCCGTGCCGGCACAGCCAGGCGCTCTGCACCTGTGCGTGGAGTCGTCTCTGCCTGTGGCCACACTGACCCGACCCGCCCCTGCCCGATGTGGACAGCTGTCCCCTCACCCCCCCCGTCCTCCTGTGCTTGCTCCATGAATCACATCCGGGGTGCGTGCTGCGCTCAGCAGAGGGAACAGGGAAAAGCGCGTCTGCTCCATCCTCCTGAAAGCCTTCCTCGCAGACATCCTCCTCACAGGGTCAGAGAACAGTTCACACAAACCGAATCACACCTCTGGCGCCTTGTCGTGTTGGACGAGGGGTTTTGTAAATAGCTCACCCAGAATTAAACAGCCTCTACTCTGTATGGTTTTGGAAACACGCTGTTCAGAAGCGTTCTGGAGTGGCAGCTCCGACCTGCCCTTCACCAGCCTCTGGAGAGCCTGTCTCCTTTTCCACGTTAACGGATCAAAGGTTCCCCAAGTGTCCCCTTGCTTATTCACTGGCCAACACACATCTAGCTGTAGTCAGTGGAGGGACCACGCCGCCTCCTGACACCGCCTGCGCAGCACACCGCAGAGGAGGTGGGCCAGGCTCTGCCTCCACACGTTCCCCGTGGCTGCGGCCGGAAATGGTGGTTCCTATCTGCGCTTGAAACTGTGAACGCCAAGCTCTCTTCCAGTTTTCCACGACCAAACTGGGCTGTCTCAGCCTGAGGAATGGCATATCAGAGCCTGACTCAGGACAGCTGCTGAATCCCAGGGCTACCTGGGAACTCATCAGCAATGTTTCCACAGAAATTTAAAGATTATCCGAAAGTTAATGTTCTGAAAACCTCCTGACTGCCTGCTCCCAAGATGGAAACTCAGGCCACGGAGCCGTGGACGCGCGACGCTCGTGCCCCCAGACGCGAATCCCCAAGTGTGTGGAGCCAGGCAGCGCACGCCGGGCGGACCCACGAGTCCCGGACCCCGACCTTGCCGCGTCCAAACCAGGAGGGTGCGTGGACAGCCGGCCCAGGCCTCAAAAGCTGATGTCACCAAGTGCCCCACGGCGGCTCTGGCCTTTCCTGGGAAGCCCTGCACGAGCTGCCCAGAGGCTGGGGGCAAGAGGGGGGCCCGCTCCTCCAGGGCCTCGGCGCCCACGGCGGCCCCCCAAGGCGCACCCCCAGCTTCTGGAAACACCGGCAGACCCTGCGGCTCCTCTAGCGCCTCCTGCTCCGCTGCTGTCGTCGGCGTGAAATTTCAACACTACACTCGCGTGCACGTCTCCGACCCGGGCTCTGGCACGTCCCTGCCACCAGGAGACACTCGCCACTGCCGTCATTTTGGGCACAATCCACTAGCTGACGGAGGAGGCCTGCGCCTCACCAGGACGTCTGTGTTGGCAGCTGGCCCCGAGTGCCAGGTCTCCACTCATTCCTGAGGAGGGACAGGGCTCGATGGGCCCAGGTCCGCCCCAGCTGTGTCCCGGTCTCACAGGCACACTTCTGTCCTCTCCCCTACGTGCCCAGCAGGACCCTCCCTGAGGCTGCCCAGTCCCTCGGGCTCCACACCACCCTGCGCCCCTCCGCTGGGCAGCCTCTCCTTCCCGTCTGCCTGTCCTGGGCCCAGGGAGACGTCCATTCACAGAGGCTGGCAGGACAGACATCCTTGTCAAGAGACCTCGTGTCACAACGAGGCGTGTCCCTCCCCAAAGGCGCTCTGAGCACCACGGGCAAACCCAGCCCCGCGGGCACCGCAACAAGCGACTGCCCCGACCACAGCACCCTCCTCCTTCCTGACACAACTCGGCCCTGCGAGTCCCTCTCCGTGGGCAAGAGGCGCAACTCTCGGGGGAGAGGCTCCCTCCAAACTAACCCTGAGGAAGGTGGGTGGCTGCACCCCTGCCACACCCGCCGTTCAGCAAACTCCTGCCTTTGCGAGTGACAAGCTAAAAGCAAGACACGAGGGGGAACCTGAAGGCAACTTTACTGGCCTCGTGGGGATCAAAGCTGGAACCTGAGTGGAAAAGGCCACAGCACCGTGGGCCCCAAATCCACGGACAGGGAGAGCCCGGCCCCGCAGCTCCAGGAGGGAAGGCGCAATGGGGCGGGACGAGGGCCCACAGCCTGCCGACCTGTGCCAGCCACCCCCACCCCCCACCCCAGCGGCCTCGTCCCCGAAAGCTGCAATCACAGGGGCAGAGAAGGCAGCTGGGAGGGAGGCTCAGAGTGGGGCCCGGAGGGACAACACACACAGGAGCAGGGTGAGCAGGGGCTAGAGAGGACCGGGTCAGCAGCAACCTGGGCTTCAGGAGCGTCTAGAAAAATTCAGAGACAGAAGAAAAGACTCACAAATTTTAAAACGAGAGGATACGCTAAGTCCTAGAGAAGCGATCCACAAAGCCCGCTGTCACAGCAAGGCAAAGACGCTACCCGAGGAGGAACCAGAGACAACGGCCCAGGACAGGACCCCAGCCAAAGGGCAGGAGCCCACTGAGCCCCGCCTCTCCCGCACGGGGGCCTCTGTGCAAGGGACGCGGACACAGCGCAGCAACGGTCCCGAAAAACGATTTCCAGACTCAAACACCAAATGTAGCCACACTGGCAACCAGGGTAACGGCAAAAGAAAGGCACTTGCGAGCCTGCAGCAAAGTCCCCCAGCCCTCCCCCTCCTGCGAGCCGGTGGGGGGGGGGGGGGGTTGGGCAAGGGCAGCCGCAGGCACAGCCCAGCCTCTCCTGTGGGGTCAGAAAATCAAGACTAATATTTTGTAAACCAGAAAAACTGCATGGAATTAGAATTTCTGTGTCCATAAGTAAGGTCTCCCTGGACAGAGACCGCACCCAGAGCACTATCGTGGGCTCCACAAGGGACACTGTGGCCTATCGGTGTCACCCGAGGGCCCCAGGACGCCCCAAGCCCTCTCCGGCCGGCGTGGCCCAGCACCCGCTGGCACGTGGCCGCCGTGAGCCAGCCGGCGTCCCTAGCACTGCCTCAATAAAGCAGCAAACGTCGTCCACTCTGTCGCTCTGCAAACCCTACTCCCTGCCCTCCCGACACTCTGAGCAGACGGACGGTGGGGCTGGCGGGACTGCACTGGGCTCTGGAAAAGCCCCTGCAGCGGGGCTGTGGCCACACCGGCTGCGTTTGCATGGGGCACAATGGCTACTTGAAAGACTCTCTCAGACAAGCTATGATTATTAAGGACCGGTAGGTGTTTTCTCAAAAATGAACAAAAGGAGGCCATCGCTTCAAGGAAAACTAACAGTAGTTGTGGCCAGCAATAAAATTTGAGCTTTCACATGAATTCTGGGAAACTTGTATCCCTTCCATTAGCTTCCTAGCACCCAGCCTGAAGACGGGTCAAATGAGGTTGGTGGTGATCATGGACCGTCCACATCTGGGAGACCCACACACCTCAGGGGACCAATGCTTCACAAGGGAGCCCCCAGGGTCTTCAGATCCCCCGAGTCCAGTCGGAGGAGAACCCACCCTCACGTGGAGGCTCCCAGGCGACTCCCTGTTCCCTATACATGTCTGTGAGAGGCTGGATCGTTTTCACACACTTTAAGCAAAACCACAGAATGCAACAGACGGAGTAAAGGTGCCAGGTATTAGAAAGAGCTGCAGCTATATGAAACAATGCCACTCTTCCCACTAAACTTGTTTTCTTTTATAAAATAGCTACTTTTCAGTAAAAGTTCAGTAAAGTTTACTGTGGGGTCCTCACTGCAAACCCCCAGGTGTGTAAGGGACTCAGGGCCCAGCAGCTGAGCAACAGTACAGAGGCTCCTGGGCAGAGGGAACCCAGATGGAAGTACTTGCTGTCAGGAAACAATGAGTGCAAACCAGGAGCAGGGGCTGGGAAACCATAAGATGACTCCTGTACAGAAGCCCAAATTGGCATAAGAAAAAAAAGGAAAAGGTCTTTAAAAAAGAAAGAACTTGGAACTTCCCTGGTGGTGCAGTGGTTAAGAATCCACCTGCCAACGCAGGGGACACGGGTTCGAGCCCTGGTCCGGGAAGATCCCACATGCTGCAGAGCAACTAAGCCCGTGTGCTACAACTACTGAGCCTGCGCGCTAGAGCCCGCGACCCACAACCACTGAGCCCACGTGCCACAACTACTGAGCCTATGCTCTACTGCCCACG